ATGTAGAAAATATATTACATATAATTCATTAATCTATGAATGTAATGATAAATGACAGAAGTCATTCCATAAATTATCTTGAAAAACGATTTTAACTTCGTATTTCCTAATTATTATATGTATAAATTTGTTTATAAGTGTAATTACAATGGCTATTATTAATTTTTCTTTCAATTAAAAAAAAAGGAATTTATAAACAATTATTTTTAAAACCGAGTTACATAAATATATTTAGCCTCATATTATTGACCCTACATATAATCTATGATAATTATAGTATACAGAGTTTCTCAAACTCAAGAAGACAAATTTTTTAGAATAAAATGTCATTACAACTGAGCATACACCTTCACAAGATGTAATAAAATCAAATTCCAATAAGAAACAATATAAAAAACATTTTTACACATACACATATGTAAAGTATACTACATACAGTCAATATTCTTCACCATTGGACAAAAAACAGTAAAACAATTTAAAGATCTATGTACAATATTGTATAAGGTCAATAAAAGAATTCAAATACCAGCATTGTTGCAAATAAACGAATTAAAGATTATAAGAATGACTATGACTATATTTGTTATAAAGAAATATTTGTTCTAATTAATGTTTTTACTATATTTTTAAGAATGTCTTGTAGTTTGGATCTAATTTTAACAATCTGTAAATTGGTTATATGTAGCACAAAATTAAATACATTTGGTCATATATCCGATTGATAAAGAGATACTTATATTTCACACATTAAAATCATATATATCTTTCCTGAAATGATCAATCTAGCAAATCTTAAAGTATACATACTTTTACATAGTACAGAAAAACATATAAAACCTGATTTTGTAATTAATAAAATCACGAAGAGAATACTTAGAATACTAAAGAATTAAAGAACTCTTTTACATCATTCAACTGAAAAAATTTGTATATTTCAGTTTATCCTGATACCTTCAACGTGTTCTATATCGAGAAGGAAGAAAACTTTTTGCTACGTATGTGCTATGGTATAAAATTTGTGTATGATATACATTATTAGAAGCATTATACATTATTACACTTATTGTAAAACATTTTTTAAAAAAACTTAATCTTCATGTTATATTATAAACATAAATTTGAAGGAGTTTTTCTTACCTCATCGAAGAAAACTTGAGTCTTCTTGAGTATATGCTTTAATTCAGTTAATTCCAAGAAATTTCGTTTGAGAGCTTCTGCATTTTGATTGACCTCTCTTAATTCATTTTCCAATTTTTCAAATGTTGCTTCAAGATCTATCATTTCTCGAGGCTGTGGAGCTTCTGGATTTTCTCCAGTATCAAGCATTGGGATACCATCTTTTTTAATCTCTTTTTCCAAATACCGTAATTTACGTTCCATTTCATCACAGCGACGTACTTCGTTAACAAATTTTCGTTGAAAAGCATTGACATCAGGATTGAGCTGTACATAAAATCAATAAACATTATAATCATATAGATATATTTGGTGTATTAAATGAAACAATAAAAATAAAAATAAAGAAAAAGGCATATCCAATATTTAAAATAGTTTTATGTATTTTCAATGAAAATAGATCCAAGCATGACATTATGGTAGTAAATTAATAATCTTTATTATATTTCTGTAAAATTTATGTACTATTAAGACCAACAATAATTTATATTCATGTATTCATACAAGCTCTAAGGTCTTCTGATATTTAAGTGTTTAAATAATGATAATCCTTATTCTTTAACTACTATATATTTTAAATTAAATTTTTTTTACATGTATATTTTTCTTACATCTACCTTTCTAATTTGACTGTAAGAAATAAAAAAAACGTTGTTAATTTGATTTCAATATTACACTTTGAAATTCATAATATTTATTTAAAAGAAAATTATTTTGAATGTTGCAAATATCAATTTTTGGATACAACTTATTTTTTAATATTTTCATTATATAACAAATTTGCAAGTATTTATTATTACGTTCTTCGTCAATGACAGTAATTAACACCTAAATGCACACGCCCCTGACATGTACAAACATGTCGAATTTGCAAAGAACGATGTCGAACTTTCTAAATTAATTTAAATTTAGAAATAAAATCTTATATAAGAAAAGATTTTATCGCAAAGAATCAAATTATATTGATTTTCTCTTGATAATTAAATAAGAACAATCCAAAAATTTATTTAAAATTCTTCAATAGCATACATGCCGGAAAAAGTTATACGTTAAATGGTTACGATATATACATTATTAAATAATACACTCATTTCATATTTTGCATAAACTTAAAGATTTAAATTACATTTATATACAGATACTGTATAACAAATTGTATTGTAAAAGATAATATGTACGGAATATTATATAAAGAAGTGTACATAATTAATATAATATGAAACTTACATCTCGAAATTGTACCAGTCCCAATTCTCCAAGTTCTGATACACAAGCATAAGCTGCTTCACTTTGCAAAAACAGTTGACACAAGGTCATTTCCTCGCTTCGAAAAAGCGATCCCATATTTGATTATGATAAAGTCGTAACGACTTTAACATTCAACGAATTAAATTAATTACAGAAACTCTGTTCTTTCGAACAAGAGTCAAAGGAAAAAAGTACAGAGCTGCACCAACAATTCACTGATTTAGCAGAACCTTCTTTCGATGAGCGTTCAAAGAAGAAACCGATCTCGTGATTTCTTCTATATGACTAATAATCAATGAACAAGTCACGAGGTAAGGTGGTCATAAACCACAAATTGATGGTGTATCGATTCTCGCATTTTTTGTTAACGCCCAAAAACACCACTAGCGACAGTTTGCGGCAGAGGTGTCGAACTGCTAGTGACATGCTTCCCTCATGTTAGTGACTCGCGGTTAGTGATTGCCCTACTATCTCTATGTCAGTGTGTACTTAAGTAGATATTTATCATTGGTAATAATAAGAGGTGGCGGACACTCTACCAATTAGAAATCAAAGAATATATAGTGTGTCAGTCATGATAGGTTAAAATAGTTGTATAATATGCTACTACTTTTATCACCAGATAGTAGCACCTAATGGTAGCAAAGTGGTATTTCTATGTGTGGTATTATTCTATGGTATAAATGGCAGGCAAATGTATATACCTATTTGGCAGTATTATCAATAATTTCTGGTTTATCTTATTGTCTAAGACGACGGAGTTTATTTTATTTCAATAAAATAATTTTAGAAAAAAATTTGCAGGTATTTAAATTTAAACTTTGTACATGTTTTTATTATACTTCATTATGTTTCATGAAAAGATTCTTTTCAAAAACCATATGCTTTCGCGCCCACTTCAATTTCGTTAAAATTTAATTTTCGTTTAAGTGTCATTTTCTTGTGGACTCTAAGAAAATTAAGGGAGAAAGATTCAAATTTACATTTGGCAAAATGTTTCGGAATTTATAACTTATGACTCAAAAAAGATATCAATTTGATTATTGCAGTAAAAAATCACAAAAATTCAAACTTTCGAATGATGTACGATTTTTTATTTTAAAAAATCTTTTTAAAATAATTTTTTCAAAAATTGCAATACCAAAACAAATATATTCTCACATTCTAACAAAAAACTCTTTTAACACTTTTAAATCGTATAAGCCGCATCTTGCGGAAACTTTTCGTTTCACAACTGTAACACAAAATTCAACTCAATGTTGAATCCGTGGATGTAAAAATAGGTTACCTTTACTTCGGAGCGTGATTTAAAAAAATTTTTTTTACATATATTGATAGTACTTGATGAAAAAGGGCTAAATTTTAAATTTCAGGTTTAAGAATTCATTAGTTCACGAGTTATGTACATATAAAGTTAATTAAAAATATGATGATAATAGATATTTTCACTAACTTATTAAAAAAAATTGTTAACCAAAAAGTAGTTATCAGTCAACAACAAATTACAATATCACAAATTGATAAAAAACTTATTAAACAATCAAAGGCAAGACTATCACAATTTTTAAAAATGAAAATACATATTTTTTAATAGTAATTGGCTTAATTTTATATAATAAAAAAGTATTAAATTAGGATACTTAAATCGAAAATTGATTAGTCTAGAAGTTATGATTTTTTCCCAAATATACCTACGTATTGAAAACACTATACATATGTATTTATCTATCTCCTTCTCTTGTACAACATACTTAAACACGAGAAAAAATTGATTTCAAAGTTCAAAAGTGTCGATTTTACAAAACACAAGCACTTTTGAACTTTGAAATCAAAAAACGTGATTTTTCAAATAACATACTTGATACCTTAAGTGTATTAAGTCCATCTAATTAGTTCAAAAGTTAAATAGGAACAACTTTCCTTGAGTTCGAGAAGTGAGAAGATTTCAAGCTCATTAATCATATTTTATTAAGCATAATGTCATCTGTGATGTATAACCAGTCAATTTTAAATGTTTAAAGTGTAATTATTTACTGCGATCTAAATCTCTAAGATTTAATCTTATTAAAAGAGATATCAATTTCGAAAGTTATCAGTACAAAAACGAAGACAAGATAAAGAAATAAGAGATCAGAAAACCGAACTGAATCGGTGAACAAGGCACAGTGCAACTACAAAGTGCATTCAAGATGTGGCTAAAAAAATTAATATTTCTTATATTTTTTGTTACCGTTAATTGTACCGTTATCCAGCACGTAAAAGGTAAAATCAAATAATTCATTTTAATAATTTCTCGAAAAACCATATTGAACCCTTTTAATGGATTTACGATTTAAATATTTAATTTAAGTAATATAAATTTATGAATAAATAAATCTATACATACTTCATTTTACTTTATTTATTAATCTTTTGTTTAAATGCATTGATTAATTTTCATTAAAAACAAAAGCTTAAATGTGTTAAATAAATATTTTTAAGGTATTATAAATTACTTATATAGTATTTATATGATCCTTTTTGTTTCTTGTTTAAAGTATTGTACATTGCATACGTCCCTCCATTTATGCGTCACTTTTTTTACGCAAGTCTCCGTTTTACGCGTAAATTATAATACTATTTACGCAGTATTGTTTATACGTGATATCACTATATGCGATCTGAATTTAATAACAAAGAATAAAATATACTTTTGTGTTCAGAAATGTCATTATTATTATTTTTTTGTTAAGCTACGTAAAATGAATATGTATTTCTAAAACTTATACCAGCTTTCTTTGCAATATTTTCTTTTCTTTTGTAATGGCAGACTCTATTTACGCGATTTTTATTCGTATAAAAATGAATTCTCGTGGAACGGATATTACTCGTACATAGAGCGACGGATGTACTATAAAATTAACAGTAACATCTAATTAATTTAAATGATTAATTTAAAAAATGTTATAAAAATTAATGAAATATTTAAATGTTTACTGCATATAAATTATAAATAATAGTTTGTCCTGATAACATAGTCTGTTCAAGGCTGTAAAATCTGGCGGGTATATTTTTATATGAATTTTATAAGTATTCCTATCTCTTTACACAATACATATTTAACAGAAAAACCGTAAAATGGCGGCCATATAAAAACGAAAAATCTGTTTCGTTATAATAATTTAATATTTGTTATTTATTTAAAAAAAAAGTATTATAGGTATTGACATAATTTTACTACAAACCATAAAAGGACATTTATTTTGCATGTATGTAAAATTTTAAGGAAATCGGATCTCTCATTGTTGATAAATCATAGCAACCATACAAAAGGAAACATTATACTTAACATTTAATAACTTTGTTAGTATGCATAAAAATTACATAAAAATTTAACTGTATATTCTTGATATATAAATATACATACATAAAAAATTTTGAAAATCTAACTATATTATTTTTATATTTAATAGTAATTTAAATGTCGCCGAAAAATGATCTCTTCAAACGAGAATACACCATAAAGTTATCTTGTAAGATACAAAATATTTGGGACAACATATGTGAACCTATTTAGATAAAAAGTATTTGTATAAAGAGAAAAATACACACTATTTAATATGATTGACACTGCTGTGTGAAACGTGCTATAAATAAATAAGATAAGATAAAATAAGATAAAGAGAACCGTTTGTAAATCACAGAAAATTTATTTATCAATAAAGGCTACAAAAGTCTTATTAATTAAAAGATAATAATCAATTTAAGTAATTTTAACAATACATATAACATAAAAACATACTTCTACCGACAACAATATATTCAAATATATTTCTCATACTTGAATATCTATGTGACAGAAGAATATTATAAAACTAATAATTAAAATTGTGTTAAGGAAATACGTAGGTAAAAAAAAAGGTAAAACTGCAGTGTATTGCTTTTTCCTACTTTTAGTTATTATACTATAGTTTTTGTTTGATGGGCTTCATTTTATCACTAAAATGAGAAATTAACGATGGGAAAATCACTATAGAGCTCGTGAGCTCCTAATTTGGCAACCCTGCTCTAAACCGTTCAATTTCCCCTATATAGCCACAGTGCTCTCGATCGGTGGTTCCCCTATCACCTCTATCGTCCGATGGAGAAAAGACTTCGCTTATCCTAAAAGCTATAGCGTTTCTTTATACTTTACTTTAAGTAACTGTTACATATTTCAATATTTATTTGAGAAGAATAAGAGTTTAATTTATTAACAGATATAACTGTATCTTCACTTGCTAATGAAATTGAACTGTGGACAAAACGAAACTATGAAACAGAATTATTTAAGGAAATGATAAAATATTTGAAAATTCCAACGGAGTTGCAAAATTCTGATTGGCGAACTTTCACAAAAGGAGCAGATAATGCTATTTGTACAATATGTCAAGCTACTGTAAAAACATTCATAAAATTACGGAAACAAGGAATGTCAGATGAAAGTATAAAAAATAAAGTAATCAAATTATGTGTGTTAATGAATATACAGAAAGAGAAAATTTGTAAAGGAGTAATCGAATTGAATCTGGTAATGTTCTTTCAATTTAATATAGATATATTTTTATATTATGTGGTTATAATTTCGTGTAACTTTTAATTACTTTTCTAGCCTACTGTTATGTACATAATAGATTCGAAACCAAATTTAACAGCTAATACAATTTGTGGTGTTGTCTTTGAAACAAAATCATGTCCTTTAAAAGACCCTGAATTTGAATGGAGTATTAATATTGGCAACAGTTCAAAAACAGTAATTAATGAAAAGAAGACAAATAAAGAATTCAAAGTTCTACAAATTACAGACATTCATTATGATCCGTTATATGAACCACGTGGTAATTCACATTGTGGAGAACCAGTTTGCTGCAGAAAAGGTCAAAACAAAACTAATATAAATGCATTAGCTGGATTCTGGGGAGATTATGAATCATGTGATACACCTTGGCATGCCATTATTGATGCTTTAACTCATATTAAACAAACACATCTGGTATTTTAACTAATGTATATTAATTCAAATATAAAACATGAATTAAATGTTCAATGACATCTTCTTACATTTATAGGGTATAAATTATGTATACTTCACTGGTGATGTGATAGATCATGGAGTATGGGAAACTTCAAAAGAAGGAAATATAAGAAGTCTTGAACAAATTTATAACAAAATTTATGAAATCTTTGGAAAGGTTCCAGTATTCCCAGTTCTTGGAAATCATGAACCACATCCTTTGAACCTGTAAATGCTTTTTAAAAATTCCAATAAAAGTATCATTCTATGAAATATATACAAATAATTCACAATGTTGCAAATAACTTTATTAGAGCATGAATGATATGTTAATGTTAATATATATTGTGCAGTATTTCATAATTTAAGTGTGCCCTATAATTTTTTTGAATAAATAGTCAATAACTATGCACTTTTATTGAATTAGTTAAAATAAAGTGCTTAATTTGTCTAAAAACAAGTTAAAATACATTTAAATAGTATATGATTATACGATATACGTCAACATTAAAATGTCATTTTACATATTAGATAATTGACCATAGATTTTTGGAAGAACATAATGTACATAAAAGTCTCACCATAAATAATTATATCCTGTTAGACCATAAAAGACATAAATCTCTGGATACTATTTCATTGTGAGAAAGATATTTTAAAATTATTATAATTATCTTACATTAATTGCATTTTACTTCTACATTTAAATATCAAAACATCAAAAATATTTATTTCTTTAATTTGTATAGATTTTCACCAACAAATATAACATTAAACAATGTATCTACGAACTGGTTGTATGAATCTGTAGCAGATTTGTGGATCAGTTATGGTTGGTTACCAGAATACACACGTTCTACACTACTTCAAGGAGGATATTACACGGTTACTCCAAAAAAAGGATTCAGAATCATAGCTTTAAATTCTAATGTTTGCTATTGTTATAATTGGTATGTTGAAGAAAATTAAACAAAATGATGTTACTATAACATTTTATACAATATTTAATGGAATTTTTAATTGATTGATTGTACAATTTTATTTTCCTAAAAGGGATATTTTTATTATAATCTCTTTATGTGAAGATATATTAAATTATTGTACAGTTCATTAAAATATTTTTTATATTAGGTGGCTATGGTATACTCCAAGGGATCCAGACAATCAATTACAGTGGCTTACAAATACACTTCTTACTGCAGAAAAAAATCAAGAATTTGTACATATTTTGTCCCATGTACCTGTTAATAGCAACTCTTGTTTAAAAACATGGAAACGAGAGTATCTTAAAATAATTAACAGGTTTTCCCATTTAATTAGAGCAGAATTCAATGGACATACTCATAACGATGAAATGACAATATTTTACAATTCAAATCATGAAGCAGAAAATATTGCTTGGAATGGTGGTAGTATAACTTCTTACTCAAAATTGAATCCAAATTACAAAGTCTATAATGTGAATGGTAGTAGTTACGTAAGTTATTTTATGTTTAAAATTATACTAGATAACAAAATAAAAAAAATAGTAAATGTTTCAAAATCAAATGCATTTTAAACAATTCTTACAGGCAGTTACAGATTATGAAAATTGGATGTATGATCTTCATTCTGCTAATAAAAACGTCAACAAAAGACCAAAATGGTATAAATCATATTCTTTCAAAATGGAGTATGGCCTTTCAGATTTATCAGCTAAATCTTTACATAATTGGATATATACAGCAATAAACAATGAGACACTTCTAAACAAATATTACATGTAAGATAAAATTATAACAGAAATTATTTTCAAATATTGTTAAATTATAATTTATAAATACTTTTATAATATTAACATTAATTACGAACTATTGTTTGTTGCAGCAATTTTTATAAACGAGCTGAAGCTTCATTGGAAAGAAACTGTAATTTAAGCTGTAAGAAGCAATATTTGTGCCGCACGATTATGACCCATGAAAACCTAAATCAACTATGCAATAACATTTAAAAATATTATAATTTTCCATTAAAACTATTTATACAGAATATATGAAATATACAGTTAAATAAGAAATAAAGTTTTGTTGTAACATATGTTTATTATATGAATTTTATCTAATTAATATTTACAAATATATTTGTAAAATTAATAAACTCTATCTAACACTTTTCAATTGCATCCACTTAATATATGGATTCCACATAAGGTCATCTTCTGGTATTTTATCTAATAAATACATCTACACATAAAGAAAATTAATTTATGTCTCATAAAAGTATACAAATATTTCTTTTCTTCTTAAAATAAATTCAGTTACCTGCTTCCTCACATAAATTAAAAGTCTTTCGATCATCTCTGGATTATTACATTCTTCAACAAAGAATATTGTCCAGAGTGCAGCAGCTAATACTTTATCATCTGATAAAATTCCTTCATCGTAATGAATGAGAGCAGAGTAAAACTGACCCGTTAATTTTACCAATTGTTTCCTTTTTGTCCTTCCATCCATAGGCTAACAAAGAAAATCACGTAAGTATTGTTAAAATTAAGACATCATTAAATGTAACAAAAACGAACCTTCTTATATCATAAAATATACACAACACAATTTAACATATACATATCTCTAAATATAAATATAAAGTGTGATTCATTATATACTTACACAAACTTTAGTCATTCTAACATCAATATCTTTCCACATAGACTCCAACATATTATCTCTAACAAATTTACCTTCGTTCCCTTCACTTATATAACGTACCATCAACATCCAAACATGTAATTCTGTGATTAAAAACCAAGAGAAAAATGTGTCGGGCATATTAAAATCTAAGAAATCAAACAATGCATTGAAATTAAAAATAGAGTTTGTTAAATTAATTTAATTCATATAATTACATTAAACATTAGTAAATATTAGTAATATACCTTTGTAAAATGTTGAATAGTCGACTGTTTCAAGTATGTTTGCATATAACAAATAACCTAAGCTTATTAATTGCTGAAATATATATAAAATTGATGAATTTTAAATACACAAAGCCTGTTACAAGTATCGATATAAACACAAAAATCAATGAAATTTCTATGTATCACTCATCAGTTAATTTCAGTTTATATCTTATACATTTGACTGAGCCTTTAATGAGCGAAAGTTAAGTTTGTCCACATATAATTCTCATAAAACTCATAGAAGTAATAATTAATAATTGTACTCACATATTTTCTTTTGTTAATGCGAAATAGTTTGAAGATTTTATTAATTCTTGGAGAATTACGGTATATATTACTTGGATGTAGGCTTACACGAGTATCATCAAAATCTTTACACATATGACGGATCTGTGGTCTCATTGAAAAACCTATATTATTTGAAATCACACATTGACGTTCTAAAGCATATTTCAATGCTGAAGACAATAATTCCTTCTGTAAAAGAGATTTCATCAGACTTATTACATAAAAAAATTACTGTAATTGAACAAATAAATTTAATTAAAAGGGTACTGAATTGCCTAAATAATATTACACAAATTAATACAACTTTCGAAATGATAAATGAATCTATATTTTTTTAAATTATCAAAATATTATTAACGAAAAGTAATATAAATTAATAAAAGTGTATTATATATTATCTACAAAAACAAGCTTAATATATATTTAATTATACCTTATGCATAACAACAACAATACGCAAGAAAAATTAATATTTTATATTAAAACTGAATACAAAATCATATATGTTAGGTTATATTATTGTAGTTCTTTCTTAATTAAACACACCTTTCTAAGAGTTAACATCAGAGAATACATCTTTCTTGTTTTAAATGATTAAAATTTTCAATTGATCATTAAAATTTCTAAATTTGTTTAATTCTCATGTTCGAGAGTCATAACTTTCCACTTTTCAAATATACTTGATAGACAATAGCCTAAACACGACAAGCGGAGAAATTCAAAACGTTACAATATTTTTGTAGTTTTGTTACTTAAATTCTATTACAATGACTACAATACATATTTTTTATTAGTTATTTAAGATCGCATCAATCGCTCTTAAGGATTATTAATATTTTATAAACATGTTATTATGAAATATTTAAACAATTTTACGCCAATTAAACTCTTATTGCGTATCGCCTTAATATACTATAGAACAGGGGTATCACCACTTGTGATTAAACACTTTTTACTGGTAAAGGTGGAGATGAAAAATGTACTCCTTACACAGCATATAACAAATGAAAAATAGGAAGTGTCCGTTCCGAATCTATTTAAATTTACCAGTAAATTTATTTAATAGACCTTATTTTTACTGATGTGTAAGGTAGGTATATATATATATATACTCAATTATTCGAGCACATTTAAATGCTATAGTAAGTACATAAGTACTTGCCTATATAGGTACAAGGATGTTAAATTGGCCTGCGGACATTCCAATGACACTACTTTCATGAAAAATTACTCTCTCTATACCTATCTGGTACCTACTTATTTTTAAAAGATTAGAGTTAGTGGGGACCACTGTTTCCCAGTTACTTACTAGCGTAAGGGGAGTAAATCAGACACCTGTGTTTTAATTCAATTGGTAACAGTTTACGCATGCGTTTTCACATTTACCGCATCAAAATTTACGATTACAGTAATGACTACTATACATGACAAGTGGATGCTGTCTATAAAATGAAAAGTGAATCGAAAAAACAGTTGTAACATCATACAAAAAAACTGTCAAAATGTATTCAACGAAAACTCCTTCCTATAGAATTGAGGAAGCAGATTTGAAGTGCAAGAATGGTTGCGGATTTTATGGAAATGATGAGTGGGAAGGTTATTGTAGCAAATGTCATCGAGAATATTTACAAAAACAAAGATCTCAAACTGAGAGTAACGTTTATGGACAAGGATACGATGTGTAGGTTTATTAATTGAATAGTAGTTTAATAAAATAATTTTAATGTTTGATAATTTCAAATGTTTCATTTTCAATGTAATTTATGCATTGTATAACAGAAAAACTTAGTAGCTTATAATTCTTGCATTATATAGTGAAAAATTCTATATACTTTTCCCATTTCCTTTTTATAAACTTGTATAATGTTATTTAATTAAAGTAATATAATAATTTTGTATATACATATAACGGATTTAATAATACAAAAAAATATTGCAAAAATTCAACTGATACACATAATTTTTTAAACAATCAAATGATTAAATGTTGTTTTTATAGCATTTAAAAAATTTTTAATAACATTAATATTTTATAACATTAATATTTTAGCCATTCTATGAATCGGAGTGCAACTAATGCTCAACAAAAATATGAAGAGAAGAAAGTACAACAAGAAAAAAAGTACAAATTGTTAAATATATCTTTCCGTAAACCAGTTACAAAAGGTAAACATGTATTCTGTTACTTTTTGTTTTGTTTTATTTAAATTGTTTAAAAAGAAGTAGATTAGAAATTATTCTAAGATATTAATTTTTGTGAGGAGCACAGGGATATCAAGAGTTACTACACGAATTAACAAAAGATAATCCCGATCTGGAAAAAGTAAAAGCAGAAAATCGTGAATTACTAGTTATGATTGCTAAGACACCGGTGGACAGAGATGTTAAAAAATGCATGCATTCTTTTATAGTCGAGGTACTTCAAAATAAGGATATAAAGAGAATAGAAGAACTTTCAGAAATTGTACAAAACTTTTATCAAGTATTCGCCAAGCGTTTAGAAAACAATACCAAATATGCAGGTATTATAAGATCAGTATTAATATTAATACTAAACATTTTTTATGTGTTCCTAAAATGGTTATTTAATTGTTTCAACATTATTTTAGATATAACACCAGAAATAAAAGAAAAATTATTAGATTACGTTGAAAGATATTGTATGACTTCACTCTATAGGATTCTCTTTTGTCCTCCCTTCACGAATGATGAAGAAAAGGATTTAGCTATACAAAAAAGGTTCAGTTTGTTTAGATGTTACAGTACATAGTAAATTTGAAATAAAATAACATATTTTTGCAGAATTCGACAACTAAATTGGGTCAGTGGAAAAAATTTAGAGTGCAGAATACATGAAACTAGTTCAGAAGTTAGAGAACTTGTCTACACTTCTATAACAGGTTTGTATATAAAACTTTTAATTATAATATATAAATGTTTTTAAGTTTTTTTTTGAAAATTATGAATATTATTTGAATGAAATTTTTTCAGATTTACTAAATATGGATTCTGCAAAAGCTCCACAAGAAAAACTTTCTTGCGTAATTTATTGCTGTAGGAATATATTTTTAATGTTACAGCAGTCTGTCGGTGGACCAGCATCTGCAGATGAATTTCTTCCTGCACTGATTTTTATTGTTCTGAAAGCTAATCCCGCTCGCCTTAAGAGCAATATTAATTTTATCACTAGATTTTGTAATGCAAGCAGATTAATGACAGGGGAAGGTGGATATTACTTCACTAATTTGGTATGAGGCATAATAATATTTATTCTTTTTCTCGTTTTAAACGAAAATCTACGTAAAAAATGCAGACTGAAAAAAATCATTTGCAGTGTTGTGCTGTATCTTTCATTGAAAATTTAACAGCCGCATCATTAAATATGGATGAAAAAGATTTTAATGCGTATATGTCCGGGGAACGTGTACCTGCCAACACTTGGGAATCTGCTCTAATGATATGTGAAGTACATATTACACGTACAATATAATTATACTATATTATTTAATAATATTTTATTATATTTAATCGACTTCTTTTTATTTAAATTTTTTACAGAGTTTGCACTTAATGTGCGAAGATATAACACTTCTTGATGAAATAAAAGCTAAAACTAAAGAAATGATAAATGAAACATTAGATTTGAAAGAAAAAATGTTACGGTTTCAAGAGGAGATTGAATCAGAAGTAAATACTGTTTTGGAAAGAACTCCGTTGTTAATTACACATAGTCAAAGATTACCAACCAATTTGGACTGCGAAGATATAGAAAGTTACCAATTACCACCTCCAATTATTCCACAAGTAAATTATTATTTACTAATAATATATTTGGTCCATTTACTATGACAAAATTGATTTTAATTGTTCCTTTTAGGTTTGTTCTACTACAGTTAACAATTCCGCTCATCAGAACGATATGAGAATTTCTTTAATAGATGATTGTGTAACACCATCTCCTACTTTTGATTTTCCCTCTTTCATGGGCGATGATAGCTTTGATGTAAGCAAGGCGGAGGATGAAACTAGTCTCATAAGCTTGGATGCACAATGTGATTTTGATATCCAACAAGATAAGTCTACAAATGAATTATTACCAACTCATTTGCATTTAGCTTCTGCAGCAGAACCAGAAAAGGAAGATTATCATGGGTTTACTATTCAAGGTTCAAATATACCCACAATTCCTTGTAGTACTGGGGATTTATCCCTTAATTCTACAGAAACTGATTGCGAAAATTATACGAACTATTTCCACAATGTATAAAACATATTATGTAAATGAAATATACTTTATGAAGGATGTTTCACTTTTATGTATAATTCGTACAAAGATTCTTGTGAAACATTGCAGTTGTAGTGCAAATAACGTTTAGGTAATTTAAAAATATGAATTTAAATAAAAATTGTATGACGTCATGGATAAAATTAAATTTATTGATTATCAGTATTTAATGCAATTGATGTATTAAAATAATTTCAAACACATATTTATGTATTTCATGTTATTGTATTTTAAGCTTATAGTGGACATGTTTCTTCTAGCTACGAGAATGGGCGTGTTATGAGTAGAATACCATGTTCTGGTAACAAAAATTTAAAGAAATCAGACATTTTGTTGTTGAATAAATATTATATGAAGAAAGTTTATGATATATAAAAATTTTATATATATATCTTTTATTAATTAATAATAAATAATAATAGTAACTTAGAATAATAACTTATAAAAAATAATGATATTCACTATATTCTAAGGGTCAGTGTTTGATTCTGTTGTTTAGCAATTTTAACAAGTCACAGATGGAATGAAATGTATTTTATAAATAAATTTCCTATCATTACGTTATTTCTTTTCTTTAACGTTACTACATCAATATTTTGGCAGAATTAAAATTTGTCTATCCTTTGTATTTTATTACAATGAAACTGACTACGTGTTTTGAAAGATAAAGTAACACTAAATGAAACTACCTCATGTCAGTGGTTAAATTAACTCCAATTTAATTAATTACTTATGTATACATAAAAAATTGAAATTCTATTTATTAATAAAATAGATTTACCCATTTTATAAAATAATCACATTTGTACTTCTGAATACTGCATATCAGATTAATTCAAAAGTACTGTTTTAATAATTATACTACATTATACATGTATATATCTACAAATATATATATACATAAATCAGCAAATACAAGGTAATAACGCACAAAAAAATTTCAGAAAAATGTTTTCCACAATATACGAAATGGTAGTGTACTCTTGCTTCTCTGCAATTTTGTATCAAATATATTAAAATCTGCTTTCCTTAATGCATCTAAATAATTTTCTAAACAAAGTATTGGAAGAAAGATTACACGTATATCTTTCTCTAATTTATGGGTAAGAGATATCGCCTATAATTATAAAATATTTTCAATTAGAATTCACACATTAAAATGTAAATTTTGTGTTATATTAAATTTATTTATTTAAAACTATTTTCATTTTATTCAAAAAATATTTTTACCATATCTAAATGCTGTTTCCCATAAGAAGCAATATCATATATTGCATCTTGAAGACCTTGGTTAGTTTGACCTTGAAATATAGCTTCTGTAGAAACACCATGTTTCATTAAAATATCTTGCGGTAGCATATTCACTCTAATATTTGCATTACGAGGAACTGATCGAATTAAATTAATGATTCCTTGAGCTTTGCCCAAATGACTTGCAGCATGGTCTGCATTAACATCAGTAATACCATGACCCTCTAATAATAGATAATAAATGGAAGATGTACTATATTCTGCATATTTTTCTATTGCATTCATATTAAGCAACAAACAATTATTAAGATATTCTGAGCGAACATCTATTAGACGTTTAAAATAACGTTTAGATAAGGAACACTTTTCTTTCAATACCTGTAAATAATCTTATTAAAAATGCCATAACATTTATTAAATTAATACTAAATGAAATAAGTTGCAAAACAATACTCTATCTAATTCCAACATAACAGGAATTCTCGGAGGATTTCCATTGTATGTATTATTCAACGCATCTGTCCAAAATTTTAGCTTCATTTGTCCTATTTTAGAGTCATATACTTGTTCTAGTACTAGAGCCACTTCTACGTTAAATGCACGAATTGAAAATCCAATTGATCTAGTTTTAGATGATAATGGTAATGTGCATATATAATTTTCATGGTCATATTTTCTGAGAAAAAGTAAAATGACAGTAAGATATAAAAACTTTCCATTTTTCTTATTTGAAAGAAACTTTACAATTTGTAGAAATTCAAGTTCCTTAAAAATTCTATAATTTTCTGTAAATTGTTGTTTTAATTTATAGAATTAAAAACTTGATTGTTTTTCATAATGTAAGAAAAATAATTGAAAGTAAATTTTGTAAAAACTGTATTACTTTAAAAATATTACACTCATTTGTTATCTATTATTATGTACCTAACTAGTTCATGACAATATTCAGCTGGGGTTTGTTTTGTAGCTACACTTGAATATTTCAAGATATGCGACTGTATAATCCGAACAACATTTAATAAACCTCTTCCAGTCATACTGAATTCTTCTAATGTACATTCACGTTATATACAGGTTTCATCAAAACAAAAATGGCGGTTTCTCACTAATCAATCTCTTATTGGATGATTTTGCACGGTATAAATTAAACAAAGTTGAACGTACTTGGTATCTACACTTACTTATCCAGTAAATAGTAAATATCTATTTATACTACATTACTCAGGAGAAGAACCTCGGGACGGCACGGAAGTAAAAGATACATAACTTATTTCATTAAAATATTCTAGAAAGAGTGATCTCATAAAAATAAAATAAATTTAAGAAACTGGTTTATTTATCTGAAAAAAGGGGATGATTCCTGTAACTTATGAATGATATTTCAGAAACCAAAAGTACATCTTATTTGATGTTACTAAATTCAGATCATGAATAAAAATTACCGCATAAATCGAGGGTTAGGTGTATACAATTTTAAGGTAACGAATTATTTTCCAAAGTTAATTTAATTGTAAATATCCCACAATGCAATGTATCCATCTTTTGCAGCTGTAGCCATTATACATTTATCGTCATACATTTTTACTGTATCTGAGGAATATACAATGTCCTGTACTGTATCTCTATGCTGACTTAAAACAGCTAACGCTTTCAAAGTTTTCCAAGAAAATATTCTAATTCGACTGTCCCAACCACCAACTGCTACAATCTTAGCATCAGGTCTTATAGTGATTACAGAAGTACCAGAATTCTTTAATGTAATTTTAGTTTTATCACATAATAAATGATTTTCTGATAAAGTAAATACCTACAAATGACAAATTTATTTTTATAGTAACAAGACATTGAAACAATTACATTATTAACTGCACAAAAAATCATAATATAGTTTTTATATTAAATTTTAAATTATCTTTGTAGAGTCTTTTTTTTAATAAATATAGTTAACAATTAGTATTACATATTTTACCTGTAATTGATTAGAAGGACCACCAATGATTCCTTTCATTAAGGTGGTATCAAAATCCAAGGCCATTGGGCACTGTTCTGTTGTTAAATAATTCAATGTCTTTTTTTGCCTGATGTCCCATAAAATTAACTTACCACATTCGTAACCTATTAAAACCAATTTTTCATCTTTCAATGGTTTGATTACCATTACTTCTCCTAAATTTTTAAAATTTGAAGAATTCAATTCTAATTCCATACTAAATGTACGTGTAGATAATATTCCAACTTTTGATTCTTTAAGTGGTACAAGTAGCTGGTTCTGAGAAAGTGTTTGAAACCTGTCATAGACATTACATATTTATTATGTTTTAAAACTACTATAGGGTAAAAGCAAATTATATTACAATATTATAATTTCGTATTAATTGAATGTCATTAAATAAATGTAATTATGTTTTCTTTTTATTACAAATTTTCATTTCGTACAAAAAATGACAGTTACTTATATATGTGCACATACAAACAAATACCTGCAATAATGATAAAAGTCTGTTTCAATCGATTTATATTGGTTCCAATGGGATTCTGTTCTTTTATATGCCTTTATTAAACCACATTTATGTTGTACAAATAAATCATCATTATCCAAACTTTGTAAACTTAAACAACATTCTTGTCCTGATTTAATAAAACTTAATTCTCGATTTATCTTAAACATAAAAGATATGAAATTTATTTTTTAGTAATGTAAATTATTCTTACACTATAAGAAATATTAAAATAATTTATTTACATTTAAATCCCAAATGTGAACATTTCCCTTAGCAGTGCCTGCATGAAGAAATTCTACATTTGGAGTTATTTGAAAAAGAATAGAATGAATACTGCCCATATCACTTCGGAAAAGGTATATTGGGTCTGGAGGAGGTATCGCCATTAGTACAAAATTATTGTCTTCGTTATATCACATTAATATTATAGGTTACTGTAACATCCATTGCCAATAGTCTTTACTTTATTTTGGAGAAAATAACTAACTATGCATTGATGTGAGTATATAATTTTAATAGGAATGTAATAATTTCTGTTTTTAGAGAAACAATACAAAGCGCAGCTTTTATAGCACAATGTGTTTTAGTATAGATATCATTGTACATTTGCATGAACATTTTTAGCATTTAATAAACTCATCTAAACTTAAAGTTTTAACCCGTACGTTAAAATCTTTTGAGTATTGTTCTATTTTTACATGACTTAAAAAAGATTATGAGAAATCCTTATTTTTAAAAATCACATTTTCACAAAAAGAGCTTCAATTCATTATTAAACTTTAAAAATTCTAACCACAATAAAGTAATTTTACTGTTTCATGCAATAAAAACACGTCATAAAATAATGTAATATAGACTATAGACAACTACGACAGGAATGTGCTAGGAACTTGTAAATTACCCTCTCCATAGTACCTACCTTACCATCCGTTGGACTAGAATTGTCAGCTGTGAGTTTTATTTATAATTCTGATTGGTTACATGTAACCGTATTGACTAATAGCAAATTAATATTGAAAATAAAATGAAAATAGTTGAAAACTGATCAATTAGATCCGCATTTCTTTCAGGGTTTTTCTTATGTGCAATGAAGAGCACAAAGTTGTTTAAGCTTGGGCAATTCTTCGAATAGAAATAGTAGGGGAACCGCTGATTGAGAGTCACTAACTTGTAGGACGTCGATTCGACATCCCTCTTTAAATGAATAGTCGATTTTGCCTAGTTCTATACACGAGACGTAGAGTGTAAATCTATAGTGTTAAATAATATAACACGATGTAAGTTCGCCTTAGCAGTACCAAGCGAATTCATTGTGCAACCTACTACATTTTGTTCAACGGTGTATTATTCATAAAAAGAGATACTCAAATTATCAATTGATTCGAATATTTTCGAGTTTGTTGCTATATTAAATCAACGGTGACCTGGATTCTATGCAGAATAAAGTTGAATCGACCCATTATACATAACCTGTTATACAGCTGTACGCAGTACAATGCAACGATATGATGACCATGCTGTTGTCAAATTATTGTTTTTCGGTTGGAGTTCTTACATTAGGAACCCATAAGAAAACTTGGAATTGTTGGCTGATTCGCGTGCGATGATTCACACGTGCGAGTATCAAAAACAATCACACAATGTAATTTTAAAGACAGTTAAAGGGAATGTTTTGGTATATTCAAAATTTTATTCAGTTTAGTGATGTCTGTAGTTCCCATTCAGTAAGTGTGTTTGTTTAAAAGAAATTGTGAGAAACAATTAACACTAAAATGTCTACGTTAAAACTGAGTATGCAAGATAAAAGAGACTTGGATAAGTTTACTAAATTCTTGGCATTAAAAGCTGCTCAAATTATAGTGCAGTCGAGGTCAGGTGAAAAGGTCAGCACAAAGTGCAAGCCAAATTCATCTGGAACAGATTGGGTAAGCACGTTTTTTAGAATAAATTAGAACATAATGTTATTAAGAACTGATAAATTTACTATTTCTTTGGTCTTATGATAAATATATTTTTTCTATTGTATATTAAGGGTTTGAAATGATAAGTAAATAACAAATGATAAAAAATTGATTACGTATGTTATACTTTGATTGTAGTATGTATCAAAGTTCTAAAGTATAATGCGTATATTTAATTTCAGTAATAAATGTATTAAATGAACAGTTCAACTTTTCATTATATAAATGCATAGTTATGTTTACTGTTTTATGCATATGTTGATAGTTTTTAAAGAAATATTTAATTTTAATTCTGCAAATGTATATCTAAATTTAGATGAAATCTTATTTTTATGTATTTTGTCTATATTTCTATATATCTTTCAATGTAGTGTTACATCAATGTGTTAATAACTATAATCTTAGAAGCAGGTAATATAGGTTATTATTAAATCGTAATATTGATTATAAAATATTAGTGGATAATTATTATGGTTCATTCCACATTTTTAAAGGTTTCTACATTTATATTTTTTTCTTGTGTAGTTCAATTTAGCTATTCAAGATGTACCAGAAGTGTTGGCTGAAGCTAAGAGGGCATTATATGGGGAAATAGTTAATTCAACTACACCTCTTTGTATCGAAATCTCTTTGAGAACTGTTGAAGGTGACACAATGGTTTTAGAAACATGGAGTCTTTGCGTTTTGCCTGAACATAGTGATCCTACTATAAGAGTAACATATACAGTATATAACAGAATGGGCATTTTATTGAAATCTTTATTGTCTATATCAAGAATTACTCCTGCTTATAAATTGAGTAGAAGACAAGGCCCAGAATCCTATGTTATTTGTTATAGAATTTATATGGGAGAGCCACAATTACATACTTTAGGTACAAGTTTTATTCATCGTATATTAAACTTTCATGTAATTTATGTTGCTTTAGAACAGTGAATGTTACAAGGATCATCAATGATAGCATTGGTGTCATTGATGATTGACAACAATGGAATAAATTACAATAATTAATTGTAAATAATATAAAGAACAATAATTATAAATTTTCCAATATTGCTAATGATGTAATATAAAGTGATAACATTCAGTGAGATAAAGCTTCAAAATATAATTAAGTATATTTTACCTCTATGTGTATATGTACTTTGCTTAGTGAAAACAAATCACACATTTTTTTTTGTCTTTCCATTTTAATAACTTGTTTACAACTAAACTAAAATAAATCTTTTTTAAGGTGATAATTATAAAAATGTTAGAGTAGGTCAATTGTGCACACCTGTGGGCACAATTCATTTATCAGTATCATATAGAACAAAGATGACTATTTCTCCAACTCATACTGGTCGTGATTCAATAATGTTGAAAAGTGATCATTTTCATTCAGATTTAAGTCCTCGCCATACAAGGTATCAACAGAGGTAAATGGTGATATAATGTTTGAATTTTATTAACTATTATCGATATATATCAAATGTACTCAAATATTTCAATTTACATTTTAGTGAAGAAACATCAAAGTCTCTCAGTGATACAATTAAAGTAGGAGCATTTGTAGTCAATAAACCTGTTACAGTTAACGAGGAAGATTTTGTTATACCAGATGTACCTTTTAGTTCTTTATTAACTCCTAGACAAACTTCACCTCCGCCTGTTACGGTAGCTGAAGTTACAAATACAAAGACTGCGGTAACGACTACCACAACGGATAGCAGCAATGGAAATAATGAAAGACTTACAAATGATAACACAACATCAAAGTGCAACTCACAGAATGGATCTAGGAGAAGTAGTTGCTCAATGACCAGTGCGAACGACGATTTTATTATGGTAGATTTGGTAATTAACGTTCCTACGTTTATAGCGTATTTATGATGCGGTACCTTTAAACTTCTGAAATGTTATTCTAGAAAACACCTTTTGCTGTAACGAATACTAATAGTGATTTAGGAGCATTTTATCGTGAATGTCAAAGTGCACCACAACTTCAAGCTTTTATGGAGGAAACAACACTCGCTGAACAAGTAGGGGGAGATCTTACTAAACAGTTGGAAACATTCGAAACAAATATGCGACGATATGAGGATATTCTGTCATCCTTATGTCATACAGAAAATAATAACTAATATTATTATCGAATTATATAATGTTAGGTGCTTTGACAAGAAATGTAATTCTATACAGACAATGTATAGCATTGTGTCCTAGATTTAAGTAAATTTTCATTACACGAAGTTAATACTACTTGAACAAAAGTATTTTAATGACATTTCATGCTAAATGCTATCAACGCTTACGATCGCTTACAAATTGAATAAAAATTTTGAAACAAGATATATCTATAGAATACAAAAGTAATAATCGTTCACTCATAAAAAGTGAACACAGTAAAAAATTGTCAATAAGAATTGTTCACGTGTATGTACATTTGGCTTTAAATGTATGGCTTAGTGACATTCTTTTTTACAAATTTCTGATACAATATTAATACATTCAACTAAAATATAAATGAACTTAAACTTCATTACAAAGTGCTTTAAATTATTTTTTTTTCAAGTAAATTTTATTCCTTAACTGGTATTGTAAAATTTGTTGTAAATTTGATGTACATTTTTTGTTGAAAAATTTATGAATATATTGCAAATTAATAAGCAATGTCAACAATGCTTAGTTATAATATATGTTTAAAATGTTAATTAATTTATTGCTTGTACATAGTGTAAATTGTGCTTGAGCATTGTAATATTAATTGATGATTATGAAGAAACTATATAACTTTTTCATATTTTATTAATCCAATCACTTAATAAATGAGGCTGTGCTGGTAAATTGTGTACAATT